GGCAACACTAACATGCTTTTTTTCTGCCTTTTGACGACGCGTGGTGTTGAAACTTTTTGTTTACTTTTTCAACTGACTTCAAAAAAAGGAGGAAGTTCTCAATTCGTCTCTTTGTTTTTTTTTGTACTCCGGCTTATAACGCACACACTCAACATAGCCCCGCACTAGGGAAACCCTGTTTCGCGGGTGCCATGGACAACACACATAGACAACCACAAATTACACCCAAATTCATGAGAGAAATAAATGTAGGCCATACAAATATTTCTCCCGGTCCGGGAATCGAACCTGGCACCTCTGCGTGGCTGTCCGGCATGGTAACCGTTCGGCCACAGAGGCAGTTATTGTTAGTAGTAGTTTATGAATCGATTTGGATGATTATTTTTTTGTTGGAAAGAGGGTACCTCACTAGTGACCCCATTTAAATTTTTAGAAAATATTCCACCTCTAAGGGTGGCAAACTAGGGGATGTATCCATTTTCCCGGACTTTCCGGTAACGATTTCAATAAATATTTTAGCTTTGTGTAGCCTATCAGACAGATGATGAAGATTCTTGGGCGAAGCAAAATAGTTATAATTAAAAAACATATATTCTTAATATTCGATTTATGTATAAAATATTTAAAAGTTTATAAATGTTATATAAATAAACTGTAACATTGTTAAGTCTTAAGTTACCTTTTTTCAACTTTCTCGTAAGTGTGGTGAAAAACATGGCATGCCACACGTGCGAAATAGCAATTACAAACGTTTATGCCATTAAAACCTTTGTCTTCGGCTCGGGCTTGTAATTACCTACTTACCGCCCTTGGGACATGAACGCAAAAAGATTGTCATGAGTTTGTTGTCGATGTCTGTCTGTCGCTGTTTTAGAAAATTGGTCACTAATAAATCTTGATCAAATACCGTATATACTTAGCATCAACCCATTTATACGTCCCACTGCTGGGCACCTGTCTCCTTCGGGCGAGGCTTTAGGTCATAATCCGCCAAGCTGGCCGGCCCAATGCGGCCCATGCGGTTTCGGGACTTCACACGTTTTCCGAGAGTTGTGAACCTTATTCGACGTGCAGGTTTCATCACGATGTTTTCCTTCACCGGAAAGCTCTCGGGAAATTTCTCAATCAAATTCCGGGAAACTTAAAGGTAGGTTAAACCATTAGGTTACCACGGCTTTTTCTTTATCATATAATCATTATATCATTTGATATTATATAATCATTTACCTACCAACAAATAGGTCAGTGCATGTAATTGTCGAATGGTCTCGTTACAGCAAATATAATAGTTTCTTTTTTATGAAAAATATATTTGGTTCAACTTTGGACGTGAGAATGACGATGACGTCATTATTTACCAAGCGATAACGGCACCGTTGACGTCGCGTGCGCAATAACGTGCTTGCAGTTGCCAACAATATCCCTTATCAACAAGTTTTCCGCTGTCACTTATCGTTACTCTCCCTGACACGATTTCTGCCTACGTTTGTTTGAGATTCTGTCGTATAAATGAGACTTATGTCCGCTTGCACTAAACTTAAGTATGTCTTAAACCAATGCTTGAATTGATAAGACATTCTTAACACTGCGGGTTCAGTATAATAATGCCTCTTGGGTGTTGCTGGGGCTGCCCCGATTCTGCAGCGCTTCAGGCGCTTTGCTTTGTGTTTGCACAGGCAAATATAGATGACTTTAATGACGAAAGAAAACTGCCTCGCTGCTCTGCAGACTACGGCCTAGTTCCAATTCCCTTCTGAGGGTAATAGCAGGACGATATGATTCCCCATCATAAGCTCATTGTATGCAAAGATGCATCTCACACACAAGAATAGTGAGTAAATAAATGTAGTATTACATTTATTTACTCACTAACACTTATTATTGTAATGTACGTAATGTTAATTCTGTACTGCTTAATAATTATTGTTATTTTATTTGCTGACTTGAGTTTTTGTTTGATTTTATTTTGTTTTTTGGAAATTCATGTGATTTCATTTATGAATTTTGAAGAATAGTAAGTTTTGACATTTTGATTTTGATGATTTAAATTTCTGATTTATATTCCTATAATCAATAGTTAGTAATATAATTTAAGTTTACTACTACTAACGAACTATGGACCTTACTGTGGTGTCTGAGAATAAAAGATTTTTATCTTTTTATTTATTTAAATGTACCAGTGTCTTTTGCATTGCAAGTATTGATTTACGACGTACTTAAGTTTAGTGCCAGTGGGTATTACCAAGTACTGAGTGATATTTATGAGTGCAGTTCATTCGATATTACAACAAAGAAAATGAGCGACAATGAATGTTCCTACTGTCCATTTACTCAAAATTTAGTTCTTCACCAAAAAAGGCTTTTTACGTAAACAAACTTATAAGAATGAAATGTGAAATAAAACGTTTGTAAATTGGTTGTTTTTCACTCGACGAGTAAACTATGTACTTTGGGTATTTACGGCCTTTTTTACCCGAAGTATCGAACTGTAATACCTCTATGTATATACGAAATAATGCTCAACAGGTATAATAAAAGATTGGTATAACAATTTTATATATATACAGGGTGTAATCGTTAAGTGTGCCCAGGTCATTATTCCATAAATATAAGAGATATAGAGAGGTATGAAAAACATTTGATTAAATTTGACCAACTTCTTCTGACTCGATTTTTTCGTTCCATACACTTAAATGATCCTTATATGAAACAGAGTCCATCAGCACTAAAAAAAATTTTTTATTAATTTTTTCAATTTTTATGGACAACTCAGACTTGACCAAATTTTTATAGTTTTATTACTGTATTTATAGCAGTTTTGTTATCAATAAACTTATTATTACCACTTCAAGTAGGTGAACTAAAGCCTCTCTACGAATGTCAGAATATCAAATGTATGGAAGTGTTTAATGTTAATATTTTGAATATTTCTAGGTTTATTTAAAAAAAGTTATTGATGCCGATTAACTCATTAGGTAACGTACTGTCGATATCAGTTTAAAGCTTATTGATATATCTTATGTTTATGGAATAATAGCCTGGGCACACTTAACGTATCGATTACACCCTGTATATACCTAAATATAACATTACAGATATAACATTCGTTGACTATAATGTGTTATAAATTTAATCCCAGTATCAAATTTAGGTACGACGACGAGTGCAGCGAGCTTTTAATGTGCTTTCGGCTTAAACTCCTCATTAGGCTTGAAAGCACATTAAAATTAATCTTATAGAACTTCCCCTAACTTAGGTTAGGTTAATTTATTAATACAGTATACTGGTATAAATTTTAAAATATGTCTGCGAGTACCCGATTAATTGTGTAATTGTTTATTCTTTTTTTTGATGATTTAAACTTAAATTTAGTTTAATTTTTTTCTACTTTTAATATTCATATTTTACTCATACGTTTACTTTGCTCTAGGGTTTTAATCCTGAATGTCGTGTTCGCCTAATTGGCTTGTGTATTGGTTGTTCGGTTTGTTTGTTTGTATTGGTTGTTCGGAGTTTGTTCTTTTTAGTTTTAAGTTGTTTGCATGCTCTTTGTGTGCCTTTTGAAAATAAATACCTATACCATTAATTCATTATGCAAATTAATCGTTGAACTTCAGTAATTCGCCCTTTGAGATTACACGTAGCTCGCGTATGTGCTGCCATCGGTCATTATATCTAATGTTTGTTATATTGAAAGAAATATATACAAGAAATTATACCTTTTGTTTTTATACTTTTATACAAGTTTTATATCGTGGAAACATTGAATATGCTGTCGAATGTTTACGCTTCTATGATAAGACCATTGTTGATATTCAAAATTTGCCATTCAAAAAGTTCAAAACTATTGTGAAACAAAAACTTTGAGGTAATTTTATACAGTTTCTGTATGCTGCGTAATTTCAGGTTGTTTCTTGCTATGATATTTTGAAAAATATATTTAGATTTGTAAAAAATAAATGTGAATGAATATTACAAAAAGCAATCGCTACAGTTTCTTAATCTTCTTACGGAATCTGCCTTACGAATGGGTAGTACCTACTTATGATTTGAAATGTTGTTTGCATAACTATTTATTTATTTAAGACGCAATAACAGTTCACAAACAACTCTTCAGTTTGGTGGAGATGACAAATTGTGAAAAATATGGAAATGAAATAGATTGCATATCGTATTTACAAATAAAAATGAACTTTTATGAAAATTAAAAAACGAAGGAGAAGTTCGGGAAAACGAGAAATAAACATGAATTAAAAATTTCCAAAAAAATAGTAAAATAAATGCACATTGAATTTAGTTGTTAAACCTCATAGACGCTATAAGTTATTTTAAAGATTAGTGGAATATCTACCTCAGTTTAGCACTGAGGAGATATATTATAATTAATTCAAAAACAACGGATCATTGTGCGACACGTTGTATTTTTAAGCGACTTCAAAAAAAGGAGGAGGTTCTCGATTCGTCTGTATATTTTCTTTTTTTTTGTGTGTATGTTACGCGATAACTCCGGTATTTTAGAACCGATTTTGATGATTCTTGTTTTATTGAAAAGAGGGCACCTCAGCAGTGGTCTCATTTAAATTTGAAGAAAATATTTCACCTCTAAAATATTCCACTTCGTGGCAAACTAGAGAATGAATCCGGTTTCGCGCTCTTTCCGGTAACCGATTTCAACAAAACTTGGCAAATAGATGTAATTGTATGTTCCAATGATAAGCCCAACCTGAATCAACAATTTGCTAGCATCACGCACTGAGTATGTATGGTATAAATGAGTTACTAATTTTTAAGGCATTATATCTTATCTATATATTTATGGTACTAGGTAACTTAATCTTCTTGCTTATTTTTTACATGAATATTGTTGGCGTCTTTCAATTTTTGCTGGCTCTTTCTATCTAAGGTTATCCTAAATTTAAATTAGGTTTTTTAAATGTTTGATTTTAAAATGCACTCGTATTTCTGGTTTCCATAATTAATAATATTTTATTTTGTTACAGGACAACTATTAAATAGGATATTAGCATCGAATCTTCACGAATCAGTGATTCCGCCGACGAGTAAAATTTTGAAACAAAAACAAATCGAAGCTGGACCTCATTTAGGAGACTTTCAACGATTGCCGGTGAGCTTTTTATTTAAATTGCTCGAGATAGCGGCATTACAAACGATATTTCGCACATGACAACTAATATAGTATTTTATTTTATTATCTCAAAATGGCTTTAAGTTTATTAATATTACCTATTTAGTTTCAAAGCCACAGTGTTGTCCTGTCACTTTGAAATTATATCGTGTATGAATTCACACTTCAATATAGAGAAATTTGAAAAGCGCAACAGAAAATGACCAAAAAATAAACTTAGTGTAGTTTTCATTGGAGGTATCGAAATCATCCAGCACCCACAGGGCTGACCTCTGGACGTGAGGGTCGACGAACTTACAAATATCCAATTAGTTTATTTTGCATCTCGTTTACATTTTGTAATTTTGTTTAATTATGTATTTATAGTAATAACAACAATCGCTTGTATTACTTTTATATCCATACAATCACTCGTCATTCAAGTTAAGGAAGTCTTAATTGCTCCTACAAGACAATAAATTACTGCTCTAGTCTTTGTTTCCTCCCGAGACCTTCACATTCACATTAAACATTTTATAAATAAAAATTCAATACAAAATGTAAGTCTTTTGTTTGGGATCAGGTGCCTTCCATGCTATGTTCAACTTACATATGCACCATTCAGCAGATTTCTGATTTTTAGCCTTTTAAAATTGATGTTTCAAGGGCTTAAATACAAATTACTCGTAAATTATAAAATTGTAATAACCATATATTTCGAGAGCTTTTCTTGTTTTTATTTAGCAAAAGAGTTATATGGAGAGATATAACTGCTTTTCACGAGTAGTAGCTGCTAGGGCGTATAAATTGCCAAAAGTACTACGCGTAATATATGTCTAGTAACATGCCTAGCACGGGAGCTGGATCCAAAGGATTTTTTAAAAACAGTAGAGATCCGCTCACTTGATGATGTAGTCGCGCAGCACTGAAGGCGATGAATACAGTACGTGACACATAAAACTGTTTTGTTTATTTAAAAATTGCGGAGATGCTTTGACAAGAAGAATTAGAATAAGCCAATTGAATTGGATTTTTTTTACGCGGCCGACCAGAGATTTTAAAAACGATTCTGGTGCGTAAAAGTGTAACGTAACGTGGCCTAAAATAGGGAATTTTAGCTTTATTACCACATCTCTGCTTCTGCTTCCACAACTGCGGAAGTTCCGCACGCCTTTTCACATCTATTTCCGTTTCTGCTCCTGCAACTTTTGCAACGGAACTTTTATTGGAAGTTTTAACGTTCGCGATAGATCAGGCGCGTGCGCGTATTGCTAGGTGGTGGGGCGCGTGGGTCTTAGCAGTTTTGTGTTGTGTCCAAACCAAACATTTTTGGTTTGGACACTATTGGACCTATTGGAACTATTTTATTGATTCTTCCGCTTCCACATCCGCTACCGTTTCCGTTTGTGCTAAGATTTACTTTTGACATTTGTTTCCGTTTCTGTTTCCGTTATGACATTTCCGTTGCGTCACTACTTACTACGTAGCATTTTTAAATTTCAATGTTGCGTACTTGGTACTTGGTGCCCGTTACACCAAGTATGTAGGTACCGTCATATACACAAGATACCTAACCTCCCAAGCCGATTTTGTCGACCTTTTGGTTCTGAGCACAAAAATGTGGAGAAAATTGTTAAACAAACTTAATCTTTAACCTGTGAGTCGGAAAAATTATTTTGGTATGGCTCCCTAGTCGTCTCATTACGAATGACATAGTAAAAAGTTTTTAATCTTATGTGGTCTTTAACGTATAGTTCTTACTTAAATACAGAATACAAATTTCGACCAGCTAGAGTAAGGAAGTCGTAGCCTAGCGGTATAAGGATTGCTTTGCAAGTTGACGCAAGCATGGTTCGAGTCACATTAAAAATAATAATATTGTATTTTTTTTGTTTGTAACCTCTGGATAGGTGTAAGGAATGTCTAAAAATGTTATATTCTCAAAATCAACCACCTCCCATAAACATTAGGTCAATGAAATAAAATTAACCTTCTTGAGTAATTTAACAAATATTTTAACATTTTATTCTTCTAAATTATAATTAGTAAACATATTTAGAATACTTACAGCCTGTATCAGTAACTACTGTGTTTTTTTAAACTCACTACACAATTTTCATAATTGTATCGATATGGACAAAACGTTCGAAAACTAATTTTATTACTTAGAGTAGATAGCTAGTGTCAATACATTTTTCATGAAAAGTGAACAAACCGGTTTGGTTAAAATTCTTAAACAATCATTCAATTAATGGAATACCTTACGCATTCATATTTGAAGATTTCAACTTGATATCTCACTACTTTTTTCAATAATATTCATTTAAATAACATGTTAAAATCTTATTTGAATCATGTTATATAGGTAATCTTTTATGCAAAATGAGTTGACACGAACTAGTAGTTTTACAGGGTGTTTTACAAAATTATAAGGTAGTACAATAATAGACATGTTACAAAAATAACAATAACACCACTCAAACTTTCCATTATTTTTGCCTAGCGGATGACTCATAATAACTATAATATCTATTATTAAAATCTACACAATTACCACTTCAATACCGCAAAGGAAACCCTTCAGAATCGATCACTTGCTGTAAATGGTCTTTCATGCCTGTGACCATCGGCCAGCGTAAATCTCCACCACGCATTGACTCCCACATGGACACCACAAGGTCTTTCTTCCTGGTCCTTATTTCATGAATTTGAGCAATTGATTTTGTAGTGGCAAAGGGATCTTCAATATGGCGATTGACAATATCTAGGTGACGACTAGATGCAGAAGTAAACATTACCGGTGCTGGCCCCGGCTGATTAATATTTCCAGTCGCTCTGTGGCGATTGATCCACAGCTTGACAGTGTTTCTCTGTGAACAAGCAATTTATAATACTGTTTAATAGACTCTCATAATCGTAGTTTCGAATTTCACCTCAAAAAAAAAAGTTAAACATGTTTTATAACACCCGTGGGATAATGATGGATGGGATGGTCCTTTTGGCAAACTGAAGCCAGCTGCAGCACTGTGAAAAATAGAATGAGTCTACTTACCGCTATATGAAGTCGCCTTGCAATTTCTTTGATTAGCACATGTTATACATACAGAACAATAATTTCTAATTTTAATAATTTCGTTAAATGTGGCATATTAAAACAAGACAGAGTGCTTTGAAAGTAATTAAAACTGAATAGATAAATGGGAACGAAACGTGGAACATTGGGTGGAGTGGGTATGGATTAACACTTTATTAATAATATCTACCCGACACACCTTATGCAATTTTTAGTGAGCAAATATTTCTGATTTGTCAACGTTAACATTAAAAAGTATATGTACGTTATATATTAAAACACAAAATAGTGCTCGTGGAATCGAACCACGGGTATTGTAACTGGCAGTCCATACAACAAGCCGCTCGACCAATTTACTTAGATGTCAAATGACGAAATTAGGAGTGGTTTTCAAAATATGTTGATCATCTTCAAGCAACACTCCGGAGTGTTAATAATTAATAAAAGTTAATAAGCCATACAGTGGTATTGCTTATACGAAAAAAATTGAAATTGCTTTGCTTTTTCTTTGTTCAATACGTAAAATGGCTCACATAACCAAAAGGTCGGTTTGGACACGTTAGGGGGTCAGGTATCTCATGTTATGACTGTACCAAGTACGCAGCATTTTTAAATTTCAATGTAAATAAGACACCCAAGTTTTCACAATTTGGCGTTGCGGAATATTAAAATTTCTCTCCGTTAAATTGTGTTTTCTTATTTAAAAAAAGCTCTGACTTAACTACAGTCCACTAATAGAAGACTACAATATGTTCGCCGAAACGCGAAAATGCTTTATCTAAAACGCCTTTCTTTACTTATTTAAATACCTTAAGTGAATAGGCGTTCACGCTTACTACGACATGCTTTAACGCCCTTCACTAGATAGGACGCTCAAATGCACGCTGTTTGTTTTGTAGCGCAGCGAAGTTATCTCTTCTCTACCTATTTATCGTTTCCATCCAATATCGAAATTTCTTGTTTCAGGACGAAACAATACTCTGTGTATTGAAATACCTAGATATTCAATCTCTCTGCCGCTGCGCACAAGTGAATCGACACTTCAACAGACTTGCATCCGACGCTATATTGTATCGCAGTATCGATCTTAGACCATACTGGCATTGTGTGCAATCTCAGGTTTGTATTTACAGCATATTTAGCTTTTTAGCATTTTGCGATTGTTAGACACTAATAACAGTATCAGATATTGTTGTTATAACAGAAAAACTGTACTGCTTTTTGCATTGCCGCGGAATGGAATGGAAGCGAATTTCCGTAACCGTCAAGTGTCTAACGTACAAAAGATAAGAGCAATAAAACTTGTTGTGCGTCTTTCGGAGAATTCTCGCACCCTCTCACAAATTCCCGTAACTACCGTATCTTATCTGTAGGGCTAGCACGACAGAGCGCGAGATACTGCTGGGGCCTTACCTTGAACTCTTATTACAGTTCAGTATAGGTTCGTAACGACAAAAAACCGGGATGGTGATATACACTTCATGTAGCGCTGTTTCACAACGATTCATTTTAGGTCCTAAACTGAATCGCAATAAGAGTTCATGGTAAGGCCCCTGTTCTCGCATTGAGAGCTATCGCGCCCTATCATGCTAGCCCGACTGGTTTGTAAGTTGCACAATTGACATAGAGGTCCGCTTCCATTCCTTTCGACGTAAATGTAAAATGAATCTGGGTCTTATTTAGCTTTTACAAGCGAACGAACATTCTCAACTAATCGTCATTGTGTCTAAATTTTTTTTATATAATATGATTGTAACTCATTGTTACAAGCTAGGTAATCCCCACACTTAATGACGCGACTCGGCACATATGAAACGCACAACTTCTTTTTCGTTCTTATTTCATGGACATAAAGCTTTTTTTGAACGGCTCAAGCCGATTTCGCGTTAACAAGTGTGGTGACTGCCTTATTTTTAAAGTTCATGTTGTGGGGATTTCTAATTTATACATACAAACCGTATGTGACCATAGAATATGAATATTTGGTTTATGCCGCAATACAAATGTGATACTTTTTACAGTGTATAACCCTATATTGTTTTTTTTTAATAATGATCCTTCTTCATATCCTGTTGTTAAATATGACCGTATGGCTATATTCTGTCCTCGAAACAAAGAAAAGCACCACCCAAATTCAAGAGATAAATGAGTTTAAAAAGCTTGTTGGTTTTTCTGGGAAAAAGAGTATCTAAAATATACCTTTGGTACTAAACAGTTCATTTATGTTAAATGTACATAAACTTACTTTATATAGAAATTTTAGTTGATTTTAAATTACACTTTTTTTAAATCACTTTTTGCTCAGTAAAAAAATTGTAAAGATTGTTCGTTGTTGTGTGTAAAAATATGTGTGTATTAGGCTTAACTAAATGTGACTTTTAAAATTATAACTTGACTTATCTAATAGAAATAAAGAAATAAAGAATAAATAAAATAAAATAAATAGAAATAAAGGGAACAATTATAATTGTGTTTTCATGTGTTATTTGTGAAGTAATCATTGTAATTTATCAGCACAGGGCGCAATTAAGTACATACCTAAGTAATAAATTCATTCAACTTAATAAATGTTAAATATGACCTTTTATGGTAGAAAAATGTGATTATCGTAATTGAACTACTTCATAAGGGCACAGTTCCATACTTTACTAAGCAAAATCCTTTGTTATTGAGAATTTTTAATCACGATAATGCTAAAAGAAGTACTATCTGTATTTAGCATACGAGTATATAATCGTTATTTATCAATATATCAAACTTTTATTTAGTAACCTATTTTTGTGAAATAATCAACAATTTAACTTGTTAAACATCAAGTATGCATTTATATGGTAGGAAATGTGAATATTGATGTTAGTTGTGCCTTTTGAGCTTACTGCATATCCAACAATATTGATATACATAGGAAATGAAACTATTTTTCCGAATTTAAATCACGTATATTTGTTTTTTCAAACAAACCAACCTTTCGGGCTCTTCACAGGTCACGGTTGACCGAGTAATATTAATGCAAATATAGGGTGGTTTAATATTAGACATAACTGGTTGATGACTGTACCACCTCAGTCAACTCCTATGTGTAACAATCGCAAAAACCTAAGATTTCGGTATATTGATATACAATTAAGCAAAAATTAGGTACATGGGCCTTTTTTTTATTCAATTTTGATGAAAATGTTAGTCGTGACTTTTTTCGTTTCGAGTTCAGACTATAAACGTCAAATATGATTTTTATGGTAGAATATCTGATTTTTGGTGTCCGTTGTGCTTTTTGAGCTCACTGTAGAATTCTATCTCAATAATTGTTGGATAATAATAATTGAGATAGAATCTAGAAAAAATTGGGTAAGTGTATAAACTTTTTCCTTTTCCCGAATGTTCTGTAATGTTTCTCGATTTTGAAAAAAGAAGTTATTTATGCCTTTCTTCGTTTCGACAGCAGTATTTAATAACCAGGGTAGCGCTAGTATATATTATTATTCATATTAATCTTCATTTATACATATTTTTAAAAGTCTTAAATATTCCGTAATATAAAGAAAAGCACTATATATACCTCGGCGGAAACTGCGATTGCTGGAATCGTATAATTATTTACTTCCCGACCTCTACAATAATCTACTATTTATTACTTAGCTTTTGTCTACACAGGTTCTGGTGACGCTATCGATGCGATGCAAGTTCCTGCAGAAGTTGGACCTGTCGTGGTGTGGGAGCCATCGTATGATACACTCTAATTACGTTGTAAAGTAAGTACATATTGTAAAATATCCGACATTGCTCATAGAATGGCAAATATATTATAGTGACCTTGATCGAGACGCGTCGCACTAAAGAACAATCTTTTTAATGAGGCAGACTGTCACACCGAATACTTGGCCTCGATATAACCCTGTACAACCAATTCCCAGAACTAGATTAGAAACTATTTACAAAACATTTATTTTTCTACATTGTTCCTTCCGGTTATCGGTTCTTGGACAGCTTGCGCCCACACTATTAACTTTTGGCACCACCGACACGTCTTTTAATTTCTTGAGCGTTGACTAAATCGGGAAATGATGTCTGGTGAATTTCAAGTGGACCGATACCTTATCAAGGTTGCGTAAAGCAGTTGAATGCGAACGCCACAAGACAGATCTAATGCGCTGGCCACACCGCGAACGAAGCTAGGTTAACTTATCTTAGCTCACGTAGCCGGGGCATCTTTTCATACTTCGGTTCACACCGCGAGCTAAGCTAACCGAGCTAACTAAACTAACCCAACGATCCCGCTAGCTATGTAAAATATGTCGCCCTTCTGCCGCCCTTCATCCCCCACGTCTCTATTTACTACGTATTTCTTATTTGTTATTTTTTTGTTTATTATTTTGTGCTCATTAGTCGTTCGATTTTCGATGAAAACAGTTGTGTCGCGTGCGGTGCGCGTACAGTGCTGACGCTGCGTGTCGTCGTCAGCTGGGCTGCGCTCGCCGCAATGACTCAAATAACGTACGTGCACAGTGCAAGATTCGACTAAATCGCGTTTATCGTTAAGGCGAAGTCATTTCTCAACTTAGACATGGCAAGCCATGGCTCACCAACTATTAAGTTAAAAACTGAAACAGAGCGCCTATCGTATCAGTGTCTCTACGAAGAACAAACAGAAAGACAAAGTATGCAACAGCTGGTTGAAATGAGGAACGAAATTATTGGTGTTCGTTACCAATTGAATAAACTTGCAGAAGAAGAAAATATCCTTCAAAAGCCCAATCAATTCAAGCAAAACTTGCATCTAAAACTACCCGATAAGTGCTAAATACAGCACCGACGAAGAAGAACTAGCTAGAGAAACGAAATGGATACGAGTAAAAAGTAGGAAAAAAAGAAAACTGAACACGTCATCGAACATTTCACAAGAGGATACAGTTGAAACGTCCACGATAAAGCAGAAGCAAAAAAAGTTTCGACACCACCACCAATAATTGTGGATGACTTAGAAAACTACCAAAATTTGTACGACTTTTTATCTGACGGCACTGAAAAAGATTCATTTATAATGAAAATGCTAAGCGTTAAGGCAGTAAAGTTCATGCAGCTAATGATGATGCTTATAGATCCATTACCAAGCTGCTCACGGAAAAGAACTGCCACTGGCATTCCTATGAAAATAAGAAAGATAGGCCAATTAGAGTAATGGCAAAGAAATTACACTTCACGTGTAAACCAGAAAGAATTATTGAAGACCTACAAACAAAGGGCTTCAATATTAAAGATGCAGCAAACAAACTACGGCGGAAGAACAAAGAACCACTTAACATGTTTGTGCTGACATTCCATCATGAAAAGGACATAAAAAATACTTGACCTGAAATCCATTCTAGGATGCAAAGTGGTGATACAAGCACTGAGAAGTTCCAAACTTGTACCTCAATGCTAAAGGAGTCGAGCAAACGGGTACACCCAAAAGTATTGTAGCAAAGAACTTAGATGTGTTAAATGCACAGGAAAACATCTTACCAGAGATTCTCCAAAACCACCGGAAATGAAGCTTAAGTGTATACACTCTGGTGAACAGCACCCAGCAAACTACCGAGGGTGTATTGTGGCTAAAGAAATACAAAAACTCAAGTCAAAACCATCAAAAGCACCAGTGCAAAATCAACCAGGGTTCACTTAAGTTGAACAACGTGAAACATCACTACCAGTGCTAGTAGTAAAAATACCATGTCTTATGCACATGTACCAGGCAAAAACAAGTCAAAAGATATAATGAGTGTAACGCAACCGAATTCCGAATTGGATGTGAAATTAAATAATATCTTGAATTATTTAGCATCATTCGATACACGTCTGAGACTATTAGAAAGTAGCATCATACCAGCTACACATAAAACTAAAAAAATGATGCGTTTAAATATTATGACGTGGAACTGCAATGGATTTTCGAATCACCAACATGAACTTCAGTTAGTCCTAGAAACAGAAAAAATAGATGTGTGTCTGATTTCTGAGACGCATTTCACTAAACAGTCACATATCACATCCAAAGGATATAAAGTGAACCACTCACTACGCCCTGACAATCTGGCGAAAAATGGCAGTGCTGTGATAATAAGGGAAACCTTAATGCACCACGAATTATACAAAATAGAAGATAAACGAATTCAAGCTGTAGCAATTCAAGTTATTACTAAGACATCTCCTCTTACCATAGCAGCTACGTATTATCCACCTAAGCATGGACTCAAAAAAGGTGATCATCAAAAACTTTTTGACAACCTAGGGGAGAGATTTATCATTGGAGGCGACTTCAATGCTAAACACTTCAGCTGGGGATCAAGAATGATAAGAACTGAGGGCAGAGAGCTCTGGAAAGCACTACAAGAAAGGAGATGTAGGATCATGTCAACTGGAAAATCTACTTATTGGCCCAGTGATCCTAATAAAATCCCCGATTTACTAGATTTTTTATATTTAAAAATATATCGCCAAATTACATGACTATCAATGACAGCTATAATATGAGTTCCGTTCATTCTCCCATTATTTTAGAACTCAGTGAAAATGTTGTTTATAGAGAAACAAAACCCTCTTTAGTTAACAAGGAAACGGATTAGGCAAGCTTCAAACGGGAACTAGATGATATTGTTAATCTCGACGTACCATTGAAGACTCCGGAACAGCTAGATTTGGAGGTGGAAAACATTGTTACGCATATTCACGAAGCTGCATCTAGAAACACTCCCAATATTCGTAGACGGACTAAAGGCCCCACCTATCCCAAGGAAATAGCAAATCTATTAAAACTAAAACGAAAGCAAAGGAAACGATGGCATCAGAGCAGGTCACCAGATGATAAGAGATTGTTGAACATTGTTACAAAAAGGTTGAGGAGAAAAATAAAGAACTTTAAAGATGAGTCCATGAAGACTTATCTACAACATCTAACGAATGATCGATCTACAGATTACTCCCTCTGGAAGGTAACAAAAAATGTAAAAAGACCGATAACTCAAGTCTTTCCTATCAGATGTACAAACGATACGTGGACCATAAGCAATGAACGAAACAATGAATGATAAGGCGAAAAGATTTGCTGAACATTTAGAAAAAATAATTCAACCAAATCAATCAGAATCTACTGATTCGGTTCTAGGAGAAATAACGAGTTTATTTCTCCTAGAATCACTCAACAACTCGCTGAAGAAATGAAACTTGTTACCCCCAAGGAAATACAAGGAGTAATAAAAATAAAAATTAGTAAAAACAAATCTCCTGAATATGACCTTATTTCTGGTGAAATTCTACATAATCTGCCTCGAAAAGCAGTGGTAAAACTGACTACAGTAGTAAATGCCGCCTTTAGATTAGAATACGTTCCTCAATTGTGGAAAGTTGCAGAAGTAATAATGATCCCGAAACCAGGTACACCGCCTCATGACGTCACGTCTTACAGGCCTATCTCATTATTACCCATGATATCAAAATTATTTGAAAAGCTTCCCCTCAAGAGACTGAAACCAATTCTATATGAAAATAAACTTATACCAGATCACCAATTCGGTTTTAGAGAAAGTCACTCCACTATTGATCAAGTACATAGAATAACTAAGACCATAGAACAGGCAATGGAGTTAAAGAAGGTTTGCTCCGCAATTTTTTTAGATGTACAAGCTTTTGATAAACTTTGGCACGAAGGTCTAATTCATAAGTTAAGAAATATACTTCCATATCAACATGCAAATCTTCTGGGATCCTATTTAACCAGTAGGTATTTCAGAATTAGACAAGGAGACGCATATTCAGAGCTAAAATAAATAAAAGCTGGAGTGTCACAAGGAAGTGTCTTGGGCCCAATTCTTTGTCTTTTATGTACAAACGATATACCCGAACCAATTGACAATACCATTGCTAATTTTGCGGATGACACAGCAATTATGGCTGTAGGAAACAACCACGAGGAAGCGGTTAGTAAAGTTCAAAAAACCATTAACCAATTCCATGAGTGGACCAAGAAGTGCTAATAAAACTAAATGAAACTAAATTGGTGCACATTGACTTCAGTTACAAAAAATATGATTACTGTCCATTGTACATTGGAAAGAAACAGGTACCCTACGAAAATACCGTCAAATATCTCGGTATGACCCTCGACGTGAAGCTACGCTGGAAAGAGCACATCAAGAAGAAAAAAGAAGAATTAGATATACGTTTAAAGAAAATGTATTGGCTATTTGGCAAATGCTCTTCACTATCTGTATGCAATAAAATATTATTGTATAAACAGGTCCTTATGCCAGTGTGGACCTATGGTATTCAGCTCTGGGGCTGTTCCGCTAAAAGCAACATACAGACAATACAACGCTTCCAAAATAAAATACTGTCCTCAGTATTTTATGTCAATTATGGGTGCTCCTTGGTATATACGAAATGAGGATCTGCACCGGGATTTGGATATAGAGCCTGTAAATAAAGTGATAATAAAGTACACCGAAGCTCACGAACGTAGACTTCATCATTACGTGAACATAGAGGCTATACAGCTACTAGACAATACAAATATAGTGCGTAGACTACAAAGCACCTTTTGAGTTAGTGTAGTTAATTATAGAGAATAAAATAAATATTAGTGTCAGTGCTAACTGGACTATGAACACACAAATAAAGTGTCTTCCCCTTAACTAATATTAAAAGACTTTTTGTCGCTGGACAATTTCTTTATGTAAGTTACTTTTATTTTAGGAAATTATGTTTAGGAAATTAAAAT